ACGTCAGAATGCGTGCACTAAAATTCAGCAGTGTTATTTGGCCCTTAGGGTGAGTTATTAAACCATTTACCTAATTCTCAAAGCAAAATGAGCAAACTAAAGATATGCTTACTTTGAAACCCAGTTGTGTGCAGAAGAATTTTAAAAAGGTATAGCTTAATTGTGTGCAACAGGACACAGGCAAAGTATTCATAGATCCTGGGTTATAGGCTCATACCTTCAAGTGATTGGACAGTGGCAAGCTTTTGATGGCACACCCACTAGGCACCTTCCCTATAACCCTACCCCACTTCATGGTTCCTTTGTTTTTTGGATGGGTCCTAAGGTAATGGACCTCTTCTCCTTTAAGGAGAAATCCCTTTCGCCTAACTAGGTTTTTAATTTACTTTTATTATTTTATCTTCGAATTCTTCAACCCCTCACTTTCTTTAAATTTCACAAATAGAAGCAGTGCATCTGAATCAACAAAACCTTGGTAAACCTTGGGAGCCCTATCTGGACCTCATGCTGTAGGATGGCCTGTAATGTTGCTGTGGGTATTGGCCCTATGCAACCCAATCCCTGAAGACCCCTTTGGGGGTATGCCCATCAAGAGCGGCAAAGCCTGGACATTTTATACAGTCCAGCATGGATAGGTAAAATATGGTACTCTTGTATTCTTTGGGGGTAAAACCCAACCACTCAGAGATTAGCCTCGGGCGGATGACCAGGCCTGACATAACACCACAAATCACGCATTTTACTGCTACTTCCACCTGGAAATTCTGTATGGTACTCAGGCACTTCCTCGCATCTTTTCACCACAAATATTCACTGCAGGATGGTCTACATCCAGGTTGCTGTGTTCCCCTTCTGGACATTTTTATCCTATATTTTGCACCCTACTCCATGAGTGCACCCCACAGGTGCACACACACTTAATTATGACGGAGACCAAGAAAAAGGGAGCAATTGTAGAACTGCAGGCAAACATTCACTCTGCCAAAGACCCACACAACTCGGACAGTGATGTGCCCCCTGCAGCGGTGAAGGAGAGCGCTGGAACATTGTTCTCTACATCTGATTCTAGCTTTGAGGCACATAAAAAGTCGCCTGTTTGGCTAAAGCAGAATTTTCGACATCTTTTATAATTCACCGTAATATAGCAGTTTTAATACAACCATCTTTCTCCATGGTTAGGAACACCATTCCTCTTCTACTCCCATTTCTCTACCTGAGTCGATCTCAATATGCCTACCTTAGACAAGGCAGGCACAGAAGGGAATGAAAAGGACATTAAGGCTGTATTGGAAGAAGCTGTGTAACATTTTCATCCCCAGATTGTCACTATATTGAAGAGAGAGCTTAGGCAATATGCTTGCTAAAATGACAAAGCCCACTACTGCCATTCATAAAAGCCTTTCCATTGTGCAGCTTGAGTCTTTGCCTTGCTATGCCCCTCAAAGAAAGCCGCAAAACCTTTAAAGACATTCTCTGGTTATGAAAATCTATGATTGTGTCTCTCCTAGATTGTAAGCTCTAATGAGCAGTGCCCTGTGATTCCTATTGTATTGTTACTGTATTGTCTGCTCTCATGTTGTAAAGCGCTGCGTAACTGTTGATGCTATATAAATCCTGTATAATAATGATTGGATCACTCCAGAAATTATCTTTACCCCCCACCCGTCCCCCAAAAAATCTATGACCATCTATCCAGTGCAAAAAGAGTTAACAAAAATGTTCCTGTGTCTGATCCTGCTGTCTCAGTCCTAAACAAACATTTGGCTGTACCTACTTCATTTCTCTGTCAAATATTCTGCAGCTAGGATGTTTGAGAGTCCTTCAACTAGCTCTCACTGTAATTTCAGTATGCCAAATCACAGTTAACTGGACTAGGGCAATGAACAACCAACATGCCCTGTATTTCAGCATTGTACTTTAACAGAGCACTTGCCTCCTTCTCTGTTTTTGGTTGTTATTTTTGTGTGGATGCCCTAGAACGTCATGATACAATTTTCCAGAATGGCACTTATCTCCATTCACAGAACCTTGTGGCTAAAGCAAGAACAGCTGTAGCCGCCTTTAAATAGCTCCTGCGCATGTCTGTTCAAGGAAGAGGTTTGTTTGGAGAAAAACTTAACAAACTTATAAAGTGCCTCACAGGAGGGAAAGTTTTACTTTCACAGTGGAGTATCTCAAAACTTACTCCTAAGGAGCCTCTACCTCCTCAAAACACAAAGCGGCTAACCAAGGTTTTCACTTCCCAACCTAAATTCAATCCCTCTTTTGGTGAGAGACTTGTGCCACAAAGCCCAGCAAATCTTCCCAAAGCCCTCTTCCCTCTCTTGTTAACAGACCTCTGGATTCAATCAGTGGTTTCAAAGCAACACAAAATAAAGTTCAAACCTCCACCCCTTTTCCACTTTCTATCAAATCAACTAAAAACTGACCAAGTACAATACAATTTGCAATTCCCTGAACCATCTCTCCCAGGGGGTAGTTGTGCAAACACCTCCACAAGGCAGATTCAAAGGATTTCATTCTAACTCTTCAACTGTAGCAAAACCCAAATGGGGTATTTGTCATATTCTGGACTTAAAATCCCTAAAAAAAAGAAAAAAAAAAAATCAAAGATGCCTATATGCATGCTCCTATTTATCCACTGCTTCACAGTGGCAGACGATCACTTTGTCACACTGCCTTTTGGTTTATCCTCTGCTCCCAGAGTATCCACAAACGTCATAGCATCTCTTTTTGCTCTTCTCAGAATTCAGAGCATCCAAGTCACAGGTTATCTAGACAACTTTCTCCTGAAGAACTCATTTCCTTTTTAACTGTTGGCAAATGCCCACAAGACCGTTCACATGCTCCAGGTTTTTATTTGGATGACACATTTTTAAAACATCTTTATTTTTCCTTATTTTTGTCTGGAATACTTGGGTCTGGCCCTGGACACATCCCAAGCAAAGGTTTTCCTTCCAGAAAAGAGAATTTTTATTCTCCGAGCCCATGCTCAGGAAATGAGGTCAAAAAGAGACATGAGATTTTTCATGAGTTTTAAGCCTCATGGAAGCCTCTTTCAAGCCTGTACCATTTGTCCAATTTCATGCATGCTCTCTCCAACACAACATTTTGTCTACTGTAACAAGAATGCTGCTTCTCTTGACCTATCCATGCTCCTGTCCAGCCGAGCAAGAAATGTCCTAACTTTTTGGATCTCAAGCCCAGCTCTAATAGGGAAATCTTTCCTTCCCTATTACTAGAAATTGATAACAACTGATGTCAGTCTTTTAGGCTGGCTAGAAGTGTTCCTCATAGTCCAGGGTCAGGGAAGCCAAGCTCCCTATGAACAAACCGGAGTTCAGAGCAGTTTAGATGGCTCTGGTCCACCTTTCTGTGTGGACATGCAGTCTGGGTGCAATCATACAATTCCATGGCTGTGGCTTACAGTAACTACCATGGGCGCACCAGGATATTTGCAGCCTATTCCATCCTGCTTTTCAGTCTTTGGCTTTAACAGCATGGCTGTTGAAGCTCACGTCCTAAAAGTTAGAGGGGTCTCCGTGTCTGTTATTCATACCTTTCTAATAGCAAGAAGAAATACTAACAGGATATATCTGCTATCATACCTGGAATATCCTTCTTTGCCTGGTGTGAACACATCAATCCCAGAGATTACTCTGAGCCTCTCATTCTGACCTTTTATACAATCCGGTCTTGACCAGAACTTGGCCTTAAGCACTCTAAAAGGACAGGTCTTGGCCTTATCTCTTCTCTTTCAAAGACCTCTGGGTTCACTCTCCTTGCATAAATGTTTGTGTACTGCACATTAAGCCCGCATTGCAGCACCCTGTGGTTCAATGGGATCTCAACGTAGTTTTTTTCTGCTCTACAGAAATCACTCTTTGAACCCATCAGGGATATTGCCTTAGATGACCTCTTCTGGAAAGCAACCTTTTGTTTGCTAACACGTTGTCAGTTGTGTTTGAGTTAACACCTCTCTCTTCTGTAAGGAGCCATTCCTCTTAGTTCACAAAGACAAGGTTATCTTACACCAAAGACCAGCCTTTCTTCCTAAGGTGGTATCCGTATTCCACTTTAGTGAGTGCATAGTCCTTCCACCCTTGTGTCCTGCTCCAAAATGTTTAAGGGAAATATCTCTCCATTGTCTGCACGTAGTCAGGGCCATATCTATTCCAAAGCTACAGCTTCAATCAGACAGATGGATTCCCTATTTCTCCTGTCTTCATGACTTTGTAAGGGACGCTTGGCTTCAAAGTTCACCATCACGACATGGAGAAGAAAGTAGATTGGTGAGCAATTTCCTAGGTATTTAGGTACCAGGCCTCTGTTGTCCAGCTATATAAGCCTGCCACCTGGTCCTCTCTCCATACGTTTTTAAAGTTGTGCTAGGTGGGTGTCCAGTCTTCTGCAGATGCAGTTTTTAACTGCAAGGCTTTTGCAACAGCACTCTAAAGTTTGGTTTGTTGACCCTTGTTGTTATTGAGCCTGTTGGCCATACTTCTGTGACCCAGGGTAAGCTTATAGTGGACTATTGCTCACTGTCAACTGAGGTCACAGAGACACTCCAGGATCTGGAAGAATCCTGACCGTATTGTCGGGGTACACCCAGCTGCTGATTGACAGTTTTGACTTTCAGCCCAGCGGAGAGCTGAGACCAGCTGTGCATGTCCCCTTCCCTGCCTGGTGCTCCAGTGAGCGCATGTTAAAACTCGCTACTCTCTGCTCTGAGCAGGCCGAGAGCTCTAACAATGCCTCTAACAGAGAATTGCAGATATAAAATTGCAGACTGAAAGTTCTTAAAGTGTTACTAAACCCAGGACCCTGCATTCACTATATCTCGTCTCCCACAGTACACAGAATATGTAAATGAAATTTTTTTTTGGTAACTATAAACTGCTAAATACCTTTTCTCATCAGAAGTTAGAGCAGTCTTGTGGCTTCTATCAGTGTCCAGCCAAGCACTAGCTAAAGCTTGTAGTTTTCTTTCTGCTCTAGGAGGATGCAAAACCCCTGAACTCTGTCTGGACAGTGCAGATTGGCTCTGTGCTGATCACATGCACTCTCCCAAAAAAAAAAAACCCTCTCTAGCAATACACACCAAACTGAGCAAGTGCAGAATGCTTACTGTTTAGAGGTGGTCGCTTAACCACTTGAGCTCCAGAGGATTTGCCCTCTTTCCTGACCAGGCCATTTTTTGCGATACAGCGCTGCGTTACTTTAACTGACAATTGCGCAGTCATGCAATGCTGGACCCAAATTTAATTTACGTCCTCTTTTCCCACAAATTGAGCTTTCATCGATGTTTTTTAATTACGCTATAAACGAAAACAGACCTACAATTTTGAGGAAAAAAAACAATATTTTTGACTTCTTGCTATTAAACATGTCTAGTAAAAAAATTTTTAAAAATCAAACTTCGTCATAAATTTAGGCCAAAATGTATTCTGCTACATATCTTTGCTAAACAAAAACCCAATACGTGTAAATTAATTGGTTTAAGTTAGTTAGTTATAGCGTTTACAATTGGCGGTATATATACTGGAATTTTTTATATTTTTTTTTTATACAAGTAATGGTGGCGATCAGTGACTTATAGCAGGACTGTGGGACTGCGGCGGGCATTCTGACACTGGGGGAAACTGACTTGGTGTCACTGACATCCCCAGTGACACCAATACAATGATCTGTGCTAATAAAAAGCACTAACACTGTACTAATGGCACTGGACAGGAAGGGGTTAACATCTGGTGCGATCAAAGGGTTAACTGTGTGTTGTTTCACTACTTGGGCTGTGTGTGCGCTTCACTGTAAGCACACTGCTTTGTATGGCTCTGTAATGCAGAGCCATACAAAGCAGTGTGCAGGAGCTGACGGGAGAGATCTGTGTTTATACACAGGTCTCTCCCCCGTCGGAGATACTTGGCGATCATCAGCCGGGACCCGATGATTGACAACCAAGGCAGCAAATGGTGGCGTGGGTAGGGCGCGCGTGCGCCCCCTACCTAGAAATGCAAAATCACGTGTGTATATATACATTAGTTTGGTCACCCCCACTGCCCTGTAGCAGTATTTCTGCTATAGGGCAGAGGGGAAGCTGTTAAACAAGGGGAGGAACAGAGCACAAATGGCCTTTTACACAATACAGAGAATTATTCCCTTAGGTTCCACAGTGAGTATAACAAGCATGCTTTACTGCAAATACAGACTGATTTTACTGTGGTGGGTTTAGTAACACTTTAATATTACTCTGTACCTGGATATTGCAAATAATTTTTCAACATGGCTGCTTCAGGGGTGATTTATTTTTTTCTTTTGTAGCATTAATCAAGACATTAAAGCCTAAGGGAAAAATATGGCATGTTATCTAATTAGAGGATTGGTAAATGTCCAAAGGCTCTTTTTTTTTTATTCCATTAATGGTTGTCCTATTTAGTGTCTAGAGTTATAGAGCATCCCATGTCTTAGTACTTAAAGTGTACCTGTAGGTTAACAGTGATTACCCTTTTGAAATGTGTGGATGTAAATTGTCTGACCTGTCAAAGGAATCCTCCTCGGTCAGTTTTGTGATTCACATACCCCTAGCATACTCATAAACTGTACTTATTTAAACTGTAAAATCTGTGGAATCTTTTAGTTGGTTCCCTTCAACTTAAGTATAATGTTGTGTGTGGGAAACTTTTATTTCATATATCTGTAGCAGTTTTTTATATTCTGTGTTTTAAACACAACTACAGTTGTGTCCAAAATTATTCAACCCCCAATGCTGTAAAGGGGTTTAGGGACTATAGTGTACATTTGGAATTGTATTCAGAATCAAATCCTACAAGGACGTTGTAACTACCCAAATGCAACTAAAATGACATCAATTGTTTATGTAATACAGTAGTAAATGGTTCTTATGTGGTTTCTTCATTGCCACAATTATTCAACCCCTTAAAGACTACCACTCTGAAGAACAGAGGTTCATACAGGTGCTTTCCATCAGGTATTGAAAACACCTGTGGATGTCACCGAGCAGCAATCAAGCATAATAAGCACCAATTAGGCAGCTTTAAAATGACTGTGATACTCAGCTCCTTCTAGACATTTACTGGTGTGGTTACAAACATGGTGAAGGCAAGAGAATGGTCCAGGAAGACAAGAGAAGAGGTGATTTCTCTTCACAGGAAGGGCAATGGCTATAAGAAGATTGCAAAGATGTTAAACATACCAAGAGACACCTTAGGAAGCATCATTCGCAAATTCAAGGCAAAGGGCACTGTTGAAACGCTACCTGGTCGTGGCAGAAAGAAGATGCTGACTTCGACTGCTGTGCGCTACCTGAAGCGTAGAGTGGAGAGAAGTCCCCGTGTGACTGCTGAGGAACTGAGAAAAGATTTGTCAGATGTGGGTACAGAAGTTTCAGCCCAGACAATAAGACGCACACTGCGTAATGAAGGCCTCCGTGCCAGAACTCCCAGGCGTACCCCCTTGCTGTCTCCAAAGAATAAGAAGAGTCGACTGCAGTATGCCAAAAGCCATGTGGACAAACCACAAAAGTTGTGGGATAGTGTTCTGTGGACTGATGAAACAAAATTAGAACTGTTTGGGCCCATGGATCAACGCTATGTTTGGAGGAGGAAGAACAAGGCCTATGATGAAAAGAACACCTTGCCTACTGTGAAGCATGGTGGAGGGTCAATCATGCTTTGGGGCTGTTTTGCTTCTGCAGGTACAGGGAAGCTTCAGCGTGTGCAAGGTACCATGAATTCTCTTCAGTACCAGGAGATATTGGATGGAAACGTGATGCAGTCCGTCACACACCTGAGGCTTGGGAGACGTTGGACCTTTCAACAGGACAATGATCCCAAGCATACCTCCAAGTCCACTAGAGCATGGTTGCAGAGGAAAGGCTGGAACATTTTGGAGTGGCCATCGCAGTCACCAGACTTAAATCCGATTGAGAACCTCTGGTGGGACTTAAAGAAAGCAGTTGCAGTGCGCAAGCCTAAGAATGTGACTGAACTGGAGGCCTTTGCCCATGAAGAATGGGCGAAGATACCCGTAGATCGCTGCAAGACACTTGTGTCAAGCTATGCTTCACGTTTAAAAGCTGTTATAACTGTAAAAGGATGCTGTACTAAGTACTAAGATTGAATGTCACTTGGGGGTTGAATAAAACTGATAATGCTGTGAGCACAGAAAAGACATTTGTGGTTATTTCATTATAACTGTTATGTTATATTTGTCTGACCTACAAGTGCCTCTTTAATGTAAATGTAAGCAAGATGACTGAATGATCAAAAGCAATGTCAAACTGGCCAAAACACTCAATTTCAGTGGGGGTTGAATAATTTGGCCACAACTGTAGGTACATATAAACAAGTAATCCTGGCACTTTGGTTTGGAAGAAAGTACTATGGAGTAATTTTACTTACGATGATTCATTTATTTGACATGTACATGGCTGATGAGCAAAAAGCTTGCTCTTGGCTTTCACTTGATAGTTTGTGCACTGCTAAATAGCTCTCCATGTATGGCTAGTTGCCTGGGCTGGAGGAAGGCAGTATCTCACTGTAGTCATAGTAAGTTGGCATAAACCATTGTCACACTTCATAAATGCAAAACACAGCTAATACCATTTGCTTCCTCTTCTTTTTGTTTCTTTTTGTTTGTTTTTTTTCCTCCCCATGCCCATGATCAGTCTATAGAGTATGTAAAAGTTAACAAAAGTTGTAGTCATTAACCACTTGCCCTCCATAAGATTTACTCCCCCCCCCCCCCCCCCCCCCCCCCCCCCTCCTGACCAGTCCATTGCTTGCGATAAGGCACTGTGTTACTTTAACTGGTAATTGTGCAGGCTGTGCAGAGAGATACAAAGCCGCATGTCCATGCTAACAGGAGATCTGTGTTGTTTACACACAGATCTCTCTCTCTCTCAACCCTGCTGACGATCACCGGCTGGGTCCCAGCGATTGACATATCCAGCAGCCAATAGCGGCAAGGGTAGGGCAGCACATGCACCCCCTACTCGGAAATTCAAAATCACGTTTGTGTGTGTGTGTGTGTGTGTGTGTGTGTGTGTGTATATGTGTGTGATTTTGTGCAGCGGAGCCACCCTGTAGCTGTATAATGGGGCAGCTCTTAATGTGATGGCGTTGACATTTGCAGACTTTGTTGATACAGTAAGGCATTTTCATAATTCTAGCAGATGTATATTGCATTTAGTTTTGTGCATATGTACGGTATGTACCTCTTTTTTGCAGCGCACAGGTTCTGTCTCTTCTCTTGAGAGTTTCTCTTTACCTATTGGTTCAGTATTCTACATCTGCCCCATTGTTTGTTTTTTTCAAACTGCCTGTAAAACATCTCATTTTTCTTCCAGTGAGAAAGTAAGAACTTTATCCAATATTGTAATGATCTAGTAGTTTCAACCATTTCTTGATCAGACAAGCAGTTAAAGCAGTATTAAACCCAAAAACAAAAATGTCAGCTTACCAGTCATTAGATATGGTGGCTGCAATTGTTTTTCTTTTCTTTGGCTTTTTTCCCTCTGTAACACACCTCATGTATTAGTGAGACACAACTCTGTATGACTTGAGCGCAGAAAGCACAGAAGATGGTTTCATTGTCAGTCTGGGGGGTAGGGCAGTGTTAAATGTATTAGCAGATTTAAATACAGTAACAAATTGAAGCCAAACCCAGCTAACACTTTAGGCCTGGTTCACACTAATGCAGTTTGCATATTGTCCATTTTGCACTGTTTTTTGAAGTGCATTTTTTTTGCGCGCACATTTTTGATGTGTTTTGCTTTTCTTTCTTTTATTACTTTTTTTGGGTTTTTTTACAGCTTTTTTTTTTTTTTTTTTTGGTGCACTTGTTTGTGGACAGATTAAAAAATGCATCAAAACACATGAAAACTGTCACACAAATGCACTCATGCAGCGTCTCCATTAAAGTCTATTGGATCAAAAAACTCAATGTTTTCCATTTAAAAAGTCCCTGACCCTTTCCAAAAACGCAGTAGCTCAAAAACGCATAGATGTGAACGTGTCCCATTGGAAACCATGTTAAATGAACTGTAGTGTGTTTCTGCATAAATCATTAAATGCATTGGTGTGAACCAGGGCTTATAATCGGTTACAGCAAACCGTTTTTTTTTTTTTTCCTATATTTTGGGATAAAGGTTTTACATGAATAAATAAAACCTGATCATTTTAATCACCGCTGCCAGTGTTAAGTAGTTTTTCTCATCCATGTAAACTGATACATTCTGCTGGAGAGCTTGTGCTTTTGAAAAACAGACTTGCTTGTAGGACCACCAGATGAAAATAAAATAAAATCACTTTTAATGGATCAAGGCAATCTACCAACATCCTTGCTTTATAAGTACATCAACAAATGTTAGGTGCTCTTGATCCTTTCTATCTTTGTTTCATTTTGTTTTTTTTCTTTAAGTACTTTTTTTTTTACCAATCACATTTTTATTATATGGTTTTGTGCAATATGTACAAAAAGTGTCAAAACAGAACATGAGTCAAATTGAGATAAAAAAAAATACAATGGTCGGATAGAAAAGTGTGAAAACTGGAAGTACAAAATGTCACAATACAACACAAGAAGACTACAAGAACAACAAAAATATCAGGTCTTATCCTTCCAAATAATCCAAGGTATCCAAGTTGGTTCAGTTCCTTTTTATCTTTAATGCAGTTAAATGGCTGGTAAACATTGTTGGGTGTGCTCAAATAGGACTGTGTATAAGACTACAGAAAATATTTTTTTTAATTACAGTAACTCAAGGAATAAATTTTTTTTTTTTTTTTTTTTTATGTAGCATCCAATCATATCCTCTTTTGCGTGTTTTATTAAAGGGAAAGTGTGGGATATAAAAAAAAAAAAAACTTCTATACTCCCCTATGTGGCTGCAGCTGTCCCCCATCGGCTCTAAGACCTAGAACTGAGCGGTCACATGACTGATCACTCTGTTCTTAGAAGTGACTGCTTTACCCCTCCAGTGCTCTGTAAGTATGTGGGGGTGGGAGCAGCTGGGTCAGGCTCAGGCTCTCATCAGTGTGCTGAGAGGCTGAGCCAGCTGCCGGTCAGCCATCTGGGTGGATCCCGACATTATTGCCAGAGTCCCTACAGAGCCAGGAACGACTCTGTGATAGCTGACAGCGGGCCTGCTGGGTCACAGGAATGCAAGAATAAGTGCACTCCTTTGACCCTGAGGAGAGGTATGGTAAAAAA